TTTTTTCCCTAGCTACCTTTCTCCCTTCCCTTAAATTGATCTCTCAACGTGGGCTTTTCATGATGAGGTTGCACTTGCACCAGCAGAAGTAGCTTTTTTCATCTTGTTTATCACCTCGAAGAAAATTAATGATTTCTTTATCAAATATCAAATTATCGAGGTCTCTGTTTTTGTTTTTGTTTTTCCAAAAAACTAATTACTCCACACACACCCCTCAACAGTCAAAATAGTTTGGAAAAGCCAGCATACAGACGCGGTTAAAGCTAAAACTATTGATGTTGTTTGTCCACAGATCAGAACAAATTAAGGTGCGTAATGGGTGTAGTCATTTCTGATTTTTGACCCCCAGCTCTCTCTATTGTACACACAGGCACTAGTTACTCTGATGATCTGATCTGATCCGCAGGTCTCTCAGGTTTCAGAGGTCACAAGTCGTTTAACCTTGCTCCCATCCTGTCCTGATCCTCCCCGCTCTTCTTCCTCCCTCCCCCAATTCTATTTTATTTTATTCTATTTTCTGTCTGCTTTCTTTTCAGAGGTCTTCCACAAGAAAAGAAAAGTACCCGTTTGTGTCTGTCGGGCTCATTCTCTTCTACTAAAGTTCAAGCCTTCTTCTACCTTTGTCTTCTCTTCGCTCCTCATCCCTGTTCTTTTCCACTCTGTTTTTCACTCTGTGTCTCCCATGTACGTACTCTTCCACCCCAAAAGCTGCCCATCACTCCTCACGTCCTAAACCTTCTCTACTTTTCACTTCTCATTGTCTCTACGTCCTTGTTTACGTTTCTTGCTATATCATCGTATCCTTCTCACCTTAAACAAGAAACCGAGATGCTTCCTTTCAGGAGTTTCTATGGGTTCGAGAGCTGGTCAGATCAGCCAGGCTCGTCCGTCAAGTCCGTGGAATTGGATAACGGGAAAACAGTTCTGAACTCCACTTCAAAATCTGATCAGAGGAAATCCATGGAAGCATGCAAGAGCCATAGAGAAGCTGAGAGGAGACGCAGGCAACGTATCAACGCCCACCTCTCCACCCTGCGCTCTCTCCTCCCTAACGCCGTAAAGGGTGAATATTCCTCCTTCCTCTTCCACTTGCCCTTCCAGCACCTTAAGGTCTCCCGGGTAATTTTAACAATGTCTTCGCCGGTGCAGTCGGATAAGGCTTCGTTGTTAGCGGAGGTGGTCCAACATGTCAGAGACCTGAGGAAACAGGCCGATGACGCGGCGCGCCATCACAACGGAGACTTGTCGGGCAGCACTATCGGCGGGGAATCCGGGTCGGGTCCGGGAGACTCGGAGCAGTGGGCGTTTCCGGGAGAGTTGGACGAAGCATCTGTGAGCTATTGCGATGGAGCTGGGGGAGAGGAAGCTGGTGAAAGCCACTCTCTGCTGCGAGGACCGGCCCAACCTGAACAGAGATCTAGAGGAGGCGATCCGGTCGGTTCGGGCCAAGGCGGTGCGAGCCGAGATGATGCATTGGTGGGGGGCGAACCAAGAGCGTGGTGATAGTGCAGTGGACTGGCGGAGAAGAGGCTGGAGCCCTGGAACGGGCTTTGACGCGGCTGTGGTAGAAAATCGGGCCCCCATGGGCCCAAGACTCGGCCGAATGTCTCTGGGCCACAACGGGCTCGACTTTGTTATGGTTTACCAAATGACGGGGAAAGCGGCTTCTTGATGGGAACTGCTAACATGTGATGTAAAAAAGAAAAGGGTGAAGATGCGTTTTTTGCCCTTGCGAAAGCCAACCAACAATCTAATGTATTTGTTATAGCAATTTTATAGTAAAGTAATTAAAATGAAATATTTTTATTTTTTTGTCAAAAATTTTTAACATTGATCATTACATTTGAGTCACAGTTTAATATTTTTAATGATTAATGTTAGAAATTTAATAAAAAAGATGAAAATATTTTATTTTAATTATTTTAAATATAAAATTATTCCAACAAGATGTTGAGTGGTGCAAAAATGCATCTTTATCCGGAAAGAAATCTATAGGTAGGGTCATATCATTTAAAGCTGAAAAGTGGAAATTCAAACGATCTACGTACTTCTTTCCTTCCTAGTCCCTGCCACCTTGTTTAGTTTTCGCAGCTAATGCTTGTAACTAATTCATTTAGCCAAAAATTTCTATGGAGGATTATATTATGTAAACATTAAATGGTGAGAGGTGTTTTTTTTTTTAACAAGCAAATAGCGAAGTTGGATAACTAGCTGATGATATTAATCATAGAAACCCAACAAAAAGAAAAAAAAATAAAAGGAATGAAAATGGAGAATGGTTTGGATTTAGATGTGGGTACTTGATGTTCGTGATAGCAAGATCCAAAAAAGAAGAGCCGAAGGGATAACGGTGCCAGCAATGAAGTGACACGAGAGAGTGGTAGTTGATGTCGTGCTTGGTCTGGAAAGATGTCCGATGCAATGGGATAACGATTTGTTCGGTGACGTGTAACACTAGGATAAGTCTATATCACCGAGCATTTTTTTTTTTGAATAGAAGGTGACACGGTTAGCCCAAACGGATAATTTAAATTTTATCAGCGTATAGAATATTGATAAAATCAAAAGGTGGGTTATAAAAAAATCTAAACATTTAAATTACTGATGAATGCTAAATGAGCCATTCAATTAATATATTTATTAGCTTTTTAAAAGTAAAAAGTGATTGTCTAATCTTCATAATAAGTTTTTTGATGTTGTTGATAGCTACAGCAGAATGATTAGTAGAGAACTCTTTGTGTATAAATGTGAGCGTCTTTGTAGAGTCTGTGTAGATATTAACTTTACTAAATTTCATTACCCAATAAATTTTGAGACCTTTTAAAATGCTTATAAGTTCAGCTGCCGTACTTGATTAATAACTGATGTATTTGGTAAACCTTTTGATCCAGTTTCCTTGATCATTTCAAATGAGATCTCCACAAAAAGCCACACCTTGATTGTTAATAGAGTCATCTCTATCAAGTCAAATTCGATCTTTTTTGAAAAACATATCATTTTACTTTAAATCTATCACTTTGTTAGGTTAAGAACTTAATTTCATATTAAAAATATTAATCATTGTAAACAACTTAGATGTTAGTGAATGCAATATCAATGTGAGGCGTTTAACTTACTGTCGTCTCAAGAAGCACGCACATAACAAAATCCTAATAATTAATCATTAAAGATAAGATTGACTTAAATTTATTTCTGGAGATAAAAGTGGGCACGGTCGCACGGACGCAAGGTGTGTGAGGAAGTGGTTGAATTGTCCAAAAAAAGAGGAAGTGGTTGTATTATGCTACAGACGGGAAAAGATGGTGTGGCTAACCCGTGACCGTGAGTTACCAATCTGGATTCTGCAGTACTCTACTGTTAGAGAAGCTTTCCAAGATGGAGATAAAACAAATGATAAAAAATTTTATACTTGGTAAATGCAGGCTCCAAAACCGGCACGCTTGTCCGATCAACGCTTGCTCTTGTGCGTTCGTCTGTCCATGGCGACTCCTCTCGGTGCTTACCCTTTTCTACTCCAAACAGCTTCTCCTTGGGTTTCTCCGGAACAATGCCTCGCCTTAATTTCGTCAGTTTCTCTAATCTCATCCTGATCTTAAGCTTTTGTAATTGAAGGCCTATATGCTTCAATTATCTGTTGTTGAAAATACTCTATCGGCCTGTCGATTTAATACTATTGTTTCATGGATCTTTTCGTGTTCATCTTGTTCCTGGCTGATTTTTTTTTTTCCCACTCTTGCTTGGTGTTCAGGCGAAACGGGCAAGAAGTGAGGCAGCATTCTCGCCTTCGATCAAGTAAGTTGGGCTTTAAAATACCGGCTCAAATGGATTGAAATTCAACGGAAAATGATATTGCTAAGATTTGCGCTCACTCAAAAATTCGAACCTGTGTTCTATAACTTTGTCAGCTACTTTGGTGTTTGAAGAAAGGCTCCCCCTCCTAGCTAGCTTGTGGCTATAAATTGCAAGGAATTCGGCCATTTTAACGAACTCTTCTGGCCAGAGAACTTCCATTTATTTGCTATCTTTTCTTTTCTTTAGGGAGAACCAACCAGAGGTTCCAAATTATCTCGGATTCAGTCAAGAGTACAAAGGTCCAAGCCTTGGAACCACGGTTGAAACTCATGATAGCAAGGACTTCTTTGGTTTGATGAAACACAGGTTTCTGATTTTCAAGAAGCAGAAATACACGTGAGTAGCAGTTGGTTGGTATTTGTTCTTTGTTATCTGTGTGAAGTATCTTATTTATAAGGCAAGTTGCATTTGGACAGGATAGAGTTCGGGCATTTTCAAGCTCTCGCTGAAGCTCAGTCTCCCAAGGTGGTATCACGAGTCTATACTTTCTACTTATTATCATCTTGCTCATCTTGTTTTAGGTCCATTTCAGTGGTTCTTCATTCCTACGCCGCTTCATATTTTAGTAGATGAACATATAGAAGGTTCATAACTGATAAATCCAAGCACAGTTTATGGTAATTGCTTGTGCAGACTCTAGGGTGTGCCCCTCTAACATTTTAGGATTTCAACCTGGAGATGCCTTCATGATTCGTAACATCGCCAATCTTGTTCCTCCCATGAAGGTAATTTTATTGTTGCTTCTGATTTTTGACGGCCAAATGATTGCCAATTTTCGCAAGGCTAGTCTAAAATGTTGACCTCGTTTTTTTTTTCTTTTTGGAGCCAGAACGGACCAACTGAGTGTAATGCTGCACTTGAGTTTGCTGTAACTATTCTCAAGGCACGTACTTATCTATAGAACTTTTGAGTAAAGTGTAAATATTGGCACTGCAGAACTCAGTGATATATCTCAGAGAAGAAAGAATTTCTGGAATTAGATGATACAGAGCAAATGATGAAACACCTCCCTTTATGATTGCAAAACCTGCATAGTTGTGTGATTGAAAAATGTTTGGTGCTGTTTTCAGGTTGAAAATATCCTAGTTATTGGTCACAGCAATTGCGCTGGAATTGAAACGTTGATGAATATACAAGAGGATGTGGAATCAAGGTTTGTTAATTTGATCACGATTATCTCTTAACAAAAACCATAACCAAGAAAGCTCAGGAGTTCTGATATAGTTCATTCATTGGAATTCTCGTGTGCCGCAGGAGCTTCATCCACAGATGGGTTGTTAATGGAAAAGTTGCCAAGGATAGGACGAAAGCTGTCACAGCTCATCTTAGCTTTGGTCCGCAATGCAGATGGTGTGAGAAGGTATAGTCTTTAGCAAGGGAAATTCAAACACAACTACCAGTTTTTTTTGGGAAAATCACAATGAATGACAGACTCAGATCAAAAATTAAATTTTAGTGTAAAAAAAAATCACCTCCCATTTTTTTTAAATATCTTTATTATCACTGGTGACAAATTATTTATTTATTTATTTTTGAGATGGCTAGAGGGGATTGAACTCACAGTCTCTTGGCCACTCTAAAAAATAGCAAGTTACTAATTTCTTTTATTTATATAATGCAAGTTTATATATATATATATATATTAATTTTGCTTTCACTTTTCATGCATATGCTTGTCATGAGTTTAATTGTTATTTGTCATTTTATAAATAATTACTTATTAAATTATTAATGGGACTTATTAAAAAATTTAATAGACACTAAATTTTATATATGTTTTTTTATTTTTATCATCAAAAACTTACATGTTAAAAGCTTACGTAAACTTATTATTTTATTAAAATTTACTTGTTAATGTGTTAAGACAAAATTTCAAAATAAGCAATGGATTTGTCATTTCACAAATATTTATTTGTTAAATTATAAATGGGGATTTGTTAAAGAAATTTAGTATGAATTGATTTTTTAAAATGTTTAATTGTTTTTACTACCAAAAATTTACTTAATAAATTGTTAATGAAAATTTTTAAAGCTAATAATGAGATTTGTCATTTTACAAATGATTACTTATTAAATTATCAATAGGAACTTGTTAAAAAAATTTAATGTAAAGTGATATTTTATAAATATTTACTTATTTTTATTACTAAAATTTTACACTTCAAAAACTTATGTAAACTTATAATTTTGTTAAAATTTACTAATCAAATTATTAAAAGAAATTTTTAAAGCTAATAATGAAATTTATCATTTTACAAATAGTTACTTAGTAAATTAATAATAGAGACATGTAATTTTAGTGCATATTAAATTTTTTTAACTTTTTTTTTACTTGTCACATCAATACTTGTCAACTTGTCATTTTACAAATATTTATTTATTAAATTACTAATAAAACTTGTTAAACAAATTTAATATGCACTGGAATGACAAGTTTTCATTTATAATTTAATAAGTAATCAATTGTGAAATGACAAGCCTTATTATTGATTTTAAAATTTTTTCTTGATAATTTAACAAATAAATTTTAACAAAATAATAAGTTCACATAAATTTTTAATGTGTAAAATTTTAGTAATAAAAATAGGTAAACATTTGTAAAAATTGCTTCATATTAAATTTTTTTAATAAGTCCTCATTAGTAATTTAATAATCAACTTTTTATAAAATGACAACTCTCGTTACTAGTTTTAAAAATTTTCCTTACACTTTGATAAGTAAATTTTAGTACAATAACAAATTTATTTAAGCTTCTAACATGTAAATTTTTGATAGTAAAAATAAGTAAATATTTAAAAAAATAATTTCATATTAAATTTATTTAACGAATCTGCACTAGTGTATATTAAACTTTTGGAAAAATACTACTTTCATCGTTGCACTTTATTTAAGCTTTGGTACAAGTTATTACATTTTTGTTTTTAATGTTTTATATCTCTATACTTTTCTCCCTATGCAACATTGGTTCTTACATTTTCATAGGGATATTGATGTAGTTTAAACGATGTTAATAATGCTGATAGTTAATTAACACTGTTAATTTTATACTTATGTGTCAAATGGATGCTAATATAAAATTATTTTAATAAGCAAAAATTAAAAAAAAATTATGCTAATGAAATCAAAATACTTACCTGGACATTTTGAATTATCAACAAGACGCACAAATTTCATGTAGTTTTTTTTTAAATTATTGCTCACTAAAATTTTTATATTAATGTTAATTTGACACGTAAATACAGAATTAATGATATTAATTGATATGTTAGTATTATTAAAATATTGCCTGTGTCACGCCAGTGTTTTTTTAAAAATGTAGGGACGCATGCGCGCGATTTGTTGCGTGATGGGTAATTTTATTTTTCCACACTAAAATTTAATTATATTTTAATTCCTAAGTCCTATAGAGTGAATTCAGGCTGTGAACAAGGTGCTCCACAAGTCCTTTATTGTGATTTTCCCTGTTTCTATGCAGGAAGTGCATGAAAGAATTAATTCTCTTTCAATACTGGGTAAATTACTCGAATTTTGGTGGTTGTGTTATTGAATGGTTGCAGGAGTCTATAAAGCAATCATTATTGAACCTGCTGAGTTACCCTTGGATAGAAGAAAGAGTGAAAAAGGAGCTGCTTTCTCTTCATGGAGGATACTACGACTTTTCTAATTGCTCCTTTGAGAAATGGACACTTGATTGGAGAGGAAGCGATGTTCAAGATGAACAAGCAGAACGCAGCTATGCTGTTAAAGACCAAGAATTTTGGTGTTGATGTTGTGGCTTTGTCACGAAACTCAACTTGGGCCACATAACCTATCGCCAGATGTTACTGCTAATTGCTGATGGCAACTGCTTTCACAGTAAGAAAACTTGTAAACTAATTAAGCCCCCTACTTCAAGACAAAGTACTGCGCGCCTGTATTATATTCAATTTTATAAGATATGTGAAGAATTCGGATACATCCGAACATACTCATTTATTTCCCTTATTTTTCCTTTTTTTTTAAAAAAAAAACAGAGGCTAGCAAAAGCTTCCCCCCCCTCCCAACGCATAATTGGTATTTTTATCATTATGGATTAATTTATCCAAAAGATAACTTAAGACCATCTCCAGAAGGTCACTTAATTTCCATCAATTATTTTAAACACTTTTACTAAAAATCCTTTGGAAATTTTTAGATAATAAATGTGGCAAAAAAAAAAGTGTGTGTGATATTAAACCCCCAAAAGTAATTTTTTACGAGGTAAGTTTTTTTTAGAAGGAAGGGGGGGAAAAACGCTCAAAATCTCAGCAGGTGGGACAACGGTGAAAAATCATTTTGAAAGAGTGGGAAGCAACGCTCCTGTCAGCCGAAAGGAAAACAGGTAGCCATAGCCAAGGCAGCAGCTGACCGTGCATCCTGGGTGAAGTAACGCCGAACAAGTCATGATCTCGCAGTTCTTCGTTTTGTCACAGCGTGGCGATAACATCGTCTTCCGAGACTGTAAGCTCCTTCTCTCCCACATGGACGTACCTTCCCCTTCGCGATTTTTTATTCCGGTATACTTTGTTCTTAGATCTGATGCCGTTCTATCCGATGTTCTTTCTAAACCGCATGATGACTTTCGTTTCTGAGTATTTTATATTCTAGTTCCAGTTTTTCTTGTTTTTTGACTTCGTTTTTACTTGCCGATCCATAATAAACTTCTCATACTTGATTCAAGTTTTACTTCCAGATCTATCTTGCTTGAATTATCTACTCAAGCTAATTCCTTCGCGGGAAGATTGGAAAAAAGAAAATGTGCATTCTGTGCTATATAGACAGGATCATCATTCTTAGTCTAGCAATCCACAAAATTGCGAAGCTGTTTTACTAACACCGACAACAAGGTCGTTTATGTCATGATGTCTAAGTGTGAGTAGATTTGAGCTGATATGAGAAGTTATATATGAAATAAAATTGAGTTTAAGAGCTAATATATAACAAGGTGGAAGGATTGATAAACTTGAGTTATGATGTTTTGAGTTAAGATGTTGTGTTCTTTCATTGCTCTTCATCCATTTATTCTTTTCCTCTTTCTGAATAGTGACTAAAAAGTAGTATCAGGGTTAGTTTTTGCTAGAGACTTGGATGAAAAAGATGAAACAAGAAGCTCGTATTGCACACTCGTCCAAAGCTCATAATGGGACTGCCCTTGTTGAAGCTTTAGGGACTTGTGTGTGCACCACATTGTTTGAATCTCAAAAATTGGGCAGGCTTTGCTTACAAGACTAGAAACTTGGCGTTTGAAATGTCTTGATATGAGAAGCTTATGGACTCATATTTTAGCGGATATTGTGTAGATGTCAACTGTGAATGTGTTGAACTGATGCAAGAAGTTTTACATCACATAAAGTTGACCTTAATAATTAATATATAATATAGTGAAAGTATACATAAACTCAAAACAAGTTAAAATGTGGTGTATTTCTATTGCTCTTTGTCCATTTGTTTTCTCCCTTTTTTTCAGGCTGTTGCACCCCATTCTTAATAGTTTAAGAATTCATGAAATAGCTGCGAGTCAAATTTTTTTGTTGATGCTTCTTGCTTTATCTTCTCATCTTTATCTCAGAGGTCACGTTTGTATGTGGTTTTTGTTTTTATGTTAATTTTGTGATTGAAGCTGCTCAGAATTTTCTGTATTGTTTGACAAGTCACTTGAATTTTATGGTGTTAAACTATGATGCTGCATGAGATGCAAAACATAGTCAACTCTAACAAGCAAGTGGTATTGTAAATAAGGAACATAATAGAGTTAAAAGCAATATGATTAGAGTGAAGTATGAGTACATTATCATACAAGATTTCTTGTTTTTCTCTACTTATACCTATCCTGATTCTTTGTAAATATTGCCATCAAATCCTCAATGCTTATGGCTGCCTATTTCTTTCAATTGCAGATCGTGGAGATGTGCAAAATGGAAGTGCAGAGATTTTCTTCCGCAAAGTAAAGTTTTGGAAAGAGGATGGGCAGGAGGATGCACCACCTGTCTTTGTAGGTATTATTTTCCCGAATCAGGAAGTGCATTTTAATGTTTAAACTACTATCATTTGATGGTTTCGATAATATTAAATCTTAATCCTCAAACATGGAAGTGCCTTGAACAGCATGTCTTTTGATGTTCTCATGAATTCATCTTTTATACAATATATGAAAAAAAAAATATATATATATATATATCACTTTATGTCTTTGCTTATCTGGTATAAAATGTTGACTTATACATGATTTTTTTTTTTTTTTTGTGTTGATAGAATGTGGATGGTGTGAACTACTTTCATGTGAAGGTTGTGGGACTATTGTTTGTTGCAACCACAAGGGTTAATATGTCGCCTTCCTTTGCCTTGGAGCTTTTACAAAGGATTGCTCGTGTTATTAAAGATTACCTTGGGGTTCTCAATGAAGACACATTACGAAAGAACTTTGTGCTTGTGTATGAGTTGCTTGATGAAGTCATTGTGAGCCTTGTATACTCTTTTTTATCTTATTCTTCATCAAATATGGAAATTTCAAACCAACCTAAAGTTGTTTGAAACAAATGAAAAATGCCCAATCACATGCTCGTGATACAACTATACCACTATTGTAATATGGCTTGTGAAAAGTTCCCCCTTGAAATCCTCACTAACATCAAAGTTGATGACTTTCTCTGTTGCAGGACTTTGGTTATGTTCAAACGACATCTACAGAGTTGTTGAAATCCTATGTTTTCAATGAGCCAATTGTGGTTGATGCTCCTCGTTTGCCACCTCTTGAACCTGCTGCAATTTTTGCGGTAATCTTTATAAGGCACTTTATGGTATTCTATGTATAATAATTATTTGCACATTTGATGCTATTAATCCTCAAATTTGATTGCTTTCAGCAAAGGGCTAAAAGAATGCCAGGTATAGCTGTCACAAAATCAGTTATAGCTACGGAGCCTGGGGGTAGAAATAGGGAGGAAATCTTCGTTGATGTAATTGAGAAAATCAGCATCACCTTCAGCTCCAGTGTGAGTACATGTATCATAATGTGACTTGAAATCCATGATAATTATTATTTTGGCATTGCTTGATCTGTTTGGCATTGCTTCATCTGTCGGGACTCACAAATGTTTCAATTATTGCCCGAATAGTTAATGTTTGGCACTCCACAAAAACAGAGAAATATTTAATCCAAGTGCTATTAAGTTTAACAAATTATCTATTTAGACTGTTTTCTTAAATGCAAAGTGGAAGGGCTTGGCCCCTTTCATTCATTATTTTGTTTCTTTCCAGATGCTTTGATGATTTACCCTTCTAAGAGCTCTCACAAGCATCTCAAACTGAGTTGCATTACTACATAATTCGAGATTATGTTTGACATGATTTTATAATTCTGTTCTTGTTGAGCTATTAGCTACTGCAGAATAAGTTATCAAAGCCATGTCTGGGATAATCTGTATCAAGTTTTTCAGGCCTCAAGGATTGGTATTTAGGTGGCAAGGTGTTGAAGTGTAACATTATGAGTGTTGTTGCATTAATTTTTTCTCAATGAATGTTCTATGCAAGTTAAATCTTCCTTTTTGTTTCCTTTATTTCATTTGCACTGTCAAGTAGTTCACTTATTATATATTTTATTAATCATTTTAACATATTTTATGTGATTTGTTTAGGGATATATATTGACTTCAGAAATTGATGGCACCATACAAATGAAAAGCTACCTTACTGGCAATCCTGAAATTCGATTAGCTCTTAATGATGACCTTGCCATAGGAAGGGGACAGGGACCAATATATGGTATTTTTCTTTTCCCCCTCTATTTGGTGTGGTTTGGCATTTCCGACTCATTGCTTATTTCTCCAGTTGGAGTGTTGAACAATTGTGCTTTGGGTCTGTTCCTGCTTCCTCATTGTGTGGATAAGTAAAGAGAATTTTTTTTTTTTTTTTAAGGTTCTGGAAATTAGATACCATATGATGATGTGCAACAGTACGTTTGTACATTGGATCCATTCCTTCAGGTTTTCAGTGACAATATTTCCTCAAAATGATGGTCAGATAATGACCTATTCTGTGAAGTAGTCATTTAAGCTTTAGAAAGAACCACCTCATTTACTTAAACTTGGAGGGTTACTGTTAATTATATTCTTACTAAAATGAGGAGATATTTTTCTTTCATTAGAGCTGTAAATTTCACGTGTTTCAATGATTGCTTACGTGAACCTTCTTCATGAGCAGGTTATCGTAGTTCATCTGGTTCTGGAGCCGTGATATTGGATGACTGTAATTTCCATGAGTCTGTTCGTCTTGATAGTTTTGATGTGGACAGAACGCTGTCTCTGGTGTGTATAAAAAATGTGGTTTTATGGGTTATGAAATTTCACATTATAAGGTACTTTACTAGTTTGCTCCCTCTTAATTATAATTTAATGGTTGTCTCCTATTGCTAATTGTAGATACCACCAGATGGTGAGTTTCCTGTAATGAACTATCGTATGACTCAAGAGTTCAGGCCTCCTTTTCGCATTAATGTTTTAATTGAAGAAGCAGGGCCCCTCAAGGTTACATCAAAATTTCCTTTTTTATTTTTTATTAAAAAGAAATCTTCTTCCCATCCTTCATCCTTTACGTCAAATATTTCATTTTCCCATCTAGAACTCACTTGTGAAATGGCAATTGCAGGCTGAGGTGATTCTTAAGATATATGCTGAGTTTGGTTCAAGTGTAACTGCAAACACTGTCAAGGTGCAGATGCCACTACCCAAATATACGACCAGGTTTTGTTCCATTTTTCTCTAAATCACTTGATAAGAGACTTATCTTAGACAATGATTTGCAGTTGATTAAAATCTTTGCCTAGTGTTGATGGGTACTCAAGTGGGATGGATAATGTTCTCCCAAAAGTTAGCTGCTAAGGCGGGAGAGCTGACTCGCAAATACTGTATAATCCTATATTGCTCCATGTGGGACTTAGGCATCCAATACTACGTTAGTCTCTATCAATTGTCCCTTTTGGAGAGCTGATATCTTGGCAACTACTCTCTAAGATACGTCACTTGACATCCTCATTGGTTAGAACCTCTTACCAGTTAGAATCCTCCATAGGAAAGGTTGACCACCAACTCTGATGCCAATTGATGGTTACTCAAATGGGATGGGAATCCGTCCCCAAAAGCTAGCTATTAAGGTGGAAACCAACCCTATTAAATACTTTATAGGGCATCCCATACAACTCCATAAGGGACAGGGCATCCCTTGTTAGCTTAGTTTCCATCAAATTTGATGCAATGGATTTGTTTCAGAATTGAAGTTCGAGGAAATGTTTTTGGCCAGGGTTTTGTCTTTTTTATAAATATGTACTCTTGATGGAATCACTAGAGCTTTCCTGGAAAACAGTGGAAGTCTAGCGAAATTTATCTTGTATTTTAAACTGTAAGGTAGGAGAACTTTTTTAAATTAGCTTCAAAAGCCTCCATGAGGCAATGTAGTGCATGAAATTTTTTTAGTATGAAATGAAAAGAATTTCAAAAGAATCCCTTTTAAGGTTTCAAGGAACCATTTCTGTTGATCAGTGTTCAAAGAGTGCATCATAATGGTGCATTCTATATGTTAAGGCTTTAAAGAAATTAAAAAAGTTTCAAAAGAATGCATATTAAATAGTTTTGCTGAGGATTCTTAACTTCATTAGAAAGATAAGCGGACCATGCTTGTTAATTTTTCTTTACCTGTGGGATAAGTTCGAGGAACCTGGGAAAGTAGCGATTCCTTGCATAAGAAAAGAAATGCATAGAGCCGTTACTCTTCACTAGTGTTATAGTGTCTGATATAAGTTATTACCTGGCGTTTTCTCAGGGTTAATTTTGAGTTGAACCCTGGAGCCGTTGGAGAAACAACTGACTTCAAGGAAGCAAATAAGAAGCTGGAGTGGAGTTTAAAGAAGGCAAGGTTTCTTGTCAATCTCTCAAAAGTTATCTATCTTAAGAAAATCTATGCATTGGCTAAACACAGTTCTGTTCACATTTTTAACATGAGAAAATATTGACCGACAAGTGCTACCAAACAGATTGTTGGTGCATCTGAGCATACACTACGTGCAAAGCTAACATTTTCTCAGGAATCACATGGTATTTATCTTTTTAATTGCTTGATGTGTAGAATCAATAGTTTGCCTATTGTTAGGTTTAATTATCAATTGATCTTCACAATTATACTACGTTTTGTTCACAAGGGAATATAACGAAGGAATCTGGACCTGTTAGCATGACATTTACCATACCGATGTACAATGTGTCACGGCTTCAGGTAAACATATTTGTATTAACTTCTCTATATCACCAACATTCAGTACCCCGATTGTAGATCAATTAGATGTTATGCTAGTATCTTGACAGTTATTGGCTCGCATGCAAAAGCTTACTCAATTTGAACTGAAATCTTAATTGCATGATTTTATCCTGCCTCTCCCCTCCAAAGGAAAAATCTGATTGGGAAAATGTTCAACATTGTGCAACGACTTGGACCAGTGAAATTAGGGAGGCCTATTGCCTGTCCTAATTTTCCAAGCCTAAAAATTGCTGGTTTCGTCCGTCTCGGAGTTCGTTTCAAGATGCTGAGTGCTTAAAATGTTTCTTTGATGCAGGTAAAATACTTGCAGATATCAAAGAAATCCCGAGTCTCGGAGCCTTATCGGTGGGTGAGATACGTGACGCAGGCAAATTCCTATGTTGCTCGTATATGAATCTCCTTGCCCGCTCCTCCCAAAAAAAAAAAAAAGGACAATTTTACGTTGTTTTATCATTCATTTGTAAATTGTAAATCACGCAGTTTGGATTCATGTTATCCTAAACCTCCTGTTACCAACAACCTGTTTTAAACTCATTGCTATTCTTTCGTTACACTTCGCCGTCGCTTAAACCATCGCCAGCCTCATTGAAGTTTTTAAGAGTAGTAAGAGGACGAGGCACTGAGAGATCTCATGCCTTTATGAATAGTGGTGGAAGAAGGTCGTCCACCGTGTCTTTGCCTGAAGCTGTACATTTATTAACCTCCCAACTTGAGAAGCTTGTTCGTGTTATCCGGGTTGACTTAGGTTGCTGTCAAAGTGGAATTTCTCATGCCCACTTTGAATGCTGCCATTTATGGTGGTGGAGCAGCTCGAGTTTTAGTTGCCTTCTTTTTATTAATTCTGGTCCTCACGTTCTATAAATGCTTGATAATAATTCATAATATTAGGCCAATAAACCTCTGTTCAATAACCGTTCTGTTTTTTTCATGGTTGACAATACTGTGTATCCTCAACGATGAGCTAAGCATCCCGATTTGGATGAGGAATTGAGGCCAACCCTAATTGAAACACTGCCTGCCTTTTTTGTTTGTGATTCCTGTTTCATTCTAAGGAAGGAGGAAGACGCATTGTCCCACTTGAGGATTAAAGTCAGCACGAAAGATGAAAGCTGTCATGTCACATTGCCTCGTAGTTGTTTAAGGGGGAAAACCTCACAGGACATTGGACCGGCCACTTTCCTTCTTTAACGTCATCCATCTTCATTTTGCGATCAATCAAATCAGTTCTGATCAAAGGTCTATCAGTCTGCGGTGTTAATTTTTTTATTTTTTTAAATCACAAAATTATTATTATAATAAAAGCTAAATAATTAAGTATTATAAACTTGTGATTTTAATATTTAATAAATAAATAAGTTTAACTTGTTAAATTTTGATCTCAACGGTTTTGATAAAAATTTTGATTAGAACTGTAGTAAAAAATTTAGAACTATGACAAAATATATTTTATAAAATATTTTATTTTATTGATTTTGTACAGTTGTACATTTATGAAAAGTAATATCTAATGGTCGAGCATTAAATATAAGTGTTTTTTTTAACAAAAATTTAAATATTATTTTATTATATTATAAAAAATTAGTTCCTTTTACTTGACTTAATTTCTATTTTAAATTCATTATTTTTTCAATACAAACTGTTCAGACTAACCATTGAAGTCAAATTTATTTATTTATTAAATACTAAAATAACAATTTTATAATATTTGTTTTTTATTATAATAATAATTTTATGATTTAAAAAAAGACAAAAAATTAATGCTGCAAAACGCAGTGTTTTGATGCTGAGCACGGAAAACGAACCTGGCAGGATGAGGGTGATAAATGGGGCGTAAATCCTTTTATGTAAACAAAAACAAAAAAGTTCTAATCCACAATAAAGGTTAGAAAAGAAGCGCCAAAACGGTCCCAATTTGCCATCTCATGGCTCCCCGAAGTCTACATCCCCCGAAACCCAATGTCCCGTGAGGAGATAAGCAAAAAGCTCAAGCTTAGTAATCTAATGCAAGGATGGTAATTGCGTGATTATATTGGCGTCATATGGTACCGTAGAGATTGAGGCAATTTTTCCAAGTTCGTATTTTGTAACGTCTCATGCAGTAAAAAGAATATTTTCCTGAATCAGTTTTACATAGCATGAAGCATTCCGATGCAAAGACCCGACTATTCAACTTCCTCTTGTCCTGGAAAGAATCTGGCCTGAGAAAAAAAGAAAAAGAAAAGAGGGAAGCAGATATCAGTTCAAGGACTGATAAAAGTCGACATATATTCTCGAGGATCCTAAACCAGAAGTGCAAAAATCTTCAAAAGACACAGCTATACCAACAAAGTTTTAACACACTGAAATCAGAAGCGTCTCGAAAAAATACAAAGTCACATCTCAATCGGAGAATCTTTTTCACGAAAGAATCTACCTTGCGTGAGATAAAAATCTTTCACATTCCTTATTTAGGAAAAAGTGCACAAGGCGAATGCATTCAAAGACTTTTCTTTGGTTTCCTATGAAGGTCGGGCCAGCAGAGGCTTTGCTCTCTAAGATAAGGAATAGAGAAAAGTATATAAAATCATAAATCAAGGCATTTGGCAAGCACAAATCATATTGAATGAGTAAACTCGTCAGAAGAAACAAAAGCTTGTTCATTCATATTTAGGGTGATTACTTCTATGCATCGAGTGGAAGAGAGATGGGGAGGGAGGCTTTGGGCATTTTCTTCCCACCACGTGTCAGCTCAAAACGTTGAAAGTTTGATGTAGTAGGAGACACGGTGAAGTCTGAACACTGGATGATAATTCCCTCGGCTTAACTATCCTTTATTTTGCCTGTTTGTATATACCTCATAATTGATTAATGGGTTAAGTATAAATTCACTTTAAAATTTTTTATAAGATGTACTCTCTCCAATCCTATTTATAAGTTACATTCTAAAAGGTTTATTTGATTTCATTTATAAATATACAGTTTTTTAGATAATATTTAAAAAATATTTTCAAAATCACCTTTTACGAGAGAGAAAAATAATATAACATTATTTTTTAAATTTATTATATAGGGACATATTTGAAATTTTCACAATTTTATTCTTTATACTTTTTTTGCATTGGTATTAATGAGGTTGGTAGAAATGATTTATAACAAGGATCATAAGAGTAATCGGCATCCTAAAGTTTTAAAAAGTGCAATGTACCCCCCATATTTTCAAAACCAGAGCATGTTTCCAAAAATTGACAAATTTCCAACGTTGATTGTTAACATGCATTTTTTGACTATCTTATGCTTAGTTGGCACACGTTGTAGGATTGAGCTGGCATCTAATGTGGTAGGACCAATATACTCCTCTCTCTTTTTTTTTAAAAAAAACCCTCTCACCTTAACCCTAATAGCCACCACAAACCGTCGGACACCATTAGCCATCAACAATAATAAGGGAGAAATGGAAAGAAAAGCCATAAAAGCAAATAATCAAACCATGAAGGAAAGAAATCATGATTCAACCACTATAGATGAAGGAATCACGAAGGAATTGTGGATAAATGCAAAAGGAAGGTGTGAAAGATTCTCATAGGAATTTGACCTACAATACAATAATGGCAACAAAGTAGAGGATGAAGGATTGCTACGTCGAACACACAAAACCCTTAAGCATGAGATGCTAATGAACACGTCCCTATTAGTCTTAGACCAATCAACTTCAAGTTCGGACTTGATGGTGGCATAACAGGTGGTGACTTATGCCAATCTCTTTAATAAAGATCAAATGAAACAAAATAGAAGAACATGAGCCAAATAGCCTGTCAAAAAAATTAAAATTAAAATCATAGTCCTAGATCTTGAGAAGGCCAATGGAAAAGAAAAGAGAGAATTTTTGCAAGAAATTGTGACGGAGGCTTAAGCACTAGGTTCGACACAAGCCACTTTCTAAATGTAGGAACCCTTTTTTTTTAAGCTTAGGCACTTTTGAGTTTCAAGAACAACAAGTTATGGAGGTGCGGCCCTATGCCTTCAGTCGCATCTAGGAGCTTCCCTTTTGCTTTGACAGCAATGTGATGATTGAAGAATTGGAGCATTCTGAGGATGAAAATGGAGGGATATAAAGTGTGTAACACCCTGAGTCTTTAACTTAGAACTTTAAATGTTTAAAAAGGGTAATTTGGTTAAAATAAGTGATTTATGAATTAATTATGTTCTTAGGCTACTATTAAGGTTTTGGATCTTTGGATAGCTTTGAAAAAGAACTAAGATAGTGTATGGGTCGATCAAACTCAAATGGAAGGTCAAAATGGCATAAGGCACTTACTATGCCATGTGCCACGGCACACAGCCAATTTCTAGGATAAATTAGACGTGAAACACTTTTGATTCTTAGAAGGAGAAAAGAAAGAATAAGAGAGAAGCGACAGAAGAGACATTGTGGTCTGTTAGGGCATCATATTGGGAGCTATTTGGAGGCATTTTGAATAAGTTTCATCATTATATAAGCTTCATTTCCCCTCTCCTTCTTCATTATGTGAATTTTTGTAGGGCAATGTGAGGGTTTGAGTTCATCTTTCATTAGATTTTGATTGAACCCATTAGTTTATTTCGTCATGGTTTAGCATGATTATGACAGGGGTGAAAGTTTACTAAAAGGAAGGAATAATGAAAGTATATATGGCAATTATCTCCTTAGTACCTAATAAGGTACAGTGTTGGAGATTATCTCCTCAATACCCGTGTGAGGTATGGTGTTGAAAATTTACTCTCTTCAGCATCAATTATGCGATGTTAAAGTAATGACACGTCAAATAGTGTGTGATAAGAGAAATTATATCTGAAAGTGGGATATGACACCTTTTGTTGGGCAGTTATATCGTCGAAAGTGCGCTCAAGCCATCGTGTATGTACGCTTGGTCCAATAAAATTTTTAGTTTTAGCTAGGATGATATGAAAACTCGGATGATAGGATGATCATGTTAGAGTGTGAAAACGACGTGTGGATATGAAATGTTAATTGATAGTTATAAGTTATTCTGTTACTGATATGTTTATCTTACCTCCTTGCTACGTTTTATAGGTAAGAAATTTGGTATAGGAAAAAGGGATGGAAGAAACTAGTGAGGATTAAAAAGCTTTGTTTGTATAGCTATTCCCTTTTATATTTTGATATTGTAATGAATTTGTGTTAATTATGCCAACCTAGGATCATGTGTTATTTTGTAATCACTTGTATGAGAACTACTGTGTAGAGGTGTGTATCTTGACCTATAATGATGTATTTGTGTTAAAATTGTTGTGAGAGGTCAAGATATTAGTGCAAGTGATATTTTTGTGTTGTTTATGTGTTAGATTGGCCCAAATGATGTTTATTGTAAATCATAGACATCCTTTTGAATTCATTATGAAATTGGGGTTTTGATGGCCAATTTATTTTTGGATTGTTATTGATGTGTTATGATGGGTCTATCAGGTTGCCTATGGTTCATTTGAGTTAGTCCAAGTAATTACAAGGTCATTGGCATTAGGTTGTGAGTTTTGGATACCCTTGTGTGTGTTTTGAATTAAAAATGGATCAAATTGGAT